CAGGTATAAGTAGTATAATAGGTATAATAGGTATAAAGTAAAAATGTATATAAGTGACCTGAGAATGGTCAAAAAGTAAAAAAAACCAGAATAGGTACTGCGCAACTGTTAAATAAAAACTATCTTTATTTTGATAAACTATTGCCTTGTGATTGACCCCAGTGTCGCTTAGCTAACGGAATTGCTGCGCGTGAAGTAACCATTGAGGACGCAAGATCAATGGACTGATCTGCGTCAGCGTTACGAACTCTGGCCAAATTTACACGCCTCTTTTGAGCAGAAACCGCCCCGATTGTTACATGGCGTGAGACAGATCGAAGCGACTGACTCGCCGTGATTTTACTACAACAATACCTTGTTATATATAATATCAAAATAAAAAAATGATGTTTACCTATAAAGAAAACCTTTCTTAAAAAAATAAAAATAAAAACTTGTATCTAATACTATTTTACTATAAAATATATATATAGGGTGGCACAAAATTTTTTGCAAAATTTTTTTAAAAAATTAAAAATTGTATTATATTATTTAATAAATATTAATTTAAAAAATATAAAAAAATTAAATATAAATCTTTTAATATAAACAATCTTAATTAAAATATTTTTTATATTAATTAATAATATTATTTAAATATTATATTTTTATTTTTTAATATCATATTTCAAAAAATATATTATTTTTATATTATTTATTATGAAAAAAACATATAAAAACTTATGTAAAAACTTGAATTTTATAAAAATCAAGTTATAAAATTAATATATAACATAAAATTTTTAATTAAAAATAATTATTTAATATAAATTAGTTATAAGTAAAAGTATTTTATAGTATTTATATATTTATATTTAAATTTATATTTAATTTAAATAAGTTTTTATTAAGTTTTATATATATAAAAAAATTTTAAAAAATTTTAAATATTATTATATATTTATTTTTTTTTATTTTTTATTTTTTTTTTAAGGCTAAGTTGTGATACACATATGAATTTTTATTATTATATATTTATAAAATTAATTAAATATAAAAATATTTAATAAAAATCATGTATTTAATACTTATTTGCTATAAATATATGTACTGTATATACAATAAACCTTTTCTAAATGCATATCTCTTGGAAACATAGGAAAATTTTTGAAAAATATGTATTTATAGAAGATATGCATTTATGGAGATAATTTTATTAAGAGTTTTATGTATTTGAAACCAAGCTTAACCATGCATTTGGAGAGAGAAAATATAGTAAGTGCATTCATAGAGAATACATTTAGGGGAATCTTTCTGTATATATTTATTTATAAAATTTTTTACTTTTTTTAAAATAAATAATAAGCATATTATATTAAATAAATTACTATGTTTTCAATTATTAATAATTAATAAATAACATTAAAAATTTGAAAATTATATACAAAGTCTTAACAACAATAAAATATAATATAAATATATATATATATATGTTTTAATATATGTTTTAATATATTATTTTAATTTTAAATTTTTTTATTAAATATAATTACAGCATATAGTATATTGTGAATTTGCCAAAATGTAACACGTACAACGTATATTATCGACATGTGACTTTGAGATTTTTGAACTGGAGGTTGTTACCCAACAACCAGTTATTAGAGTATCCTTTTTAACACTCGCATTCAAAAAAAAATGGAGACTTTTGAAAAGGGAGTTGCCCCTCCCGCTGAAAATTTTGATGGTTCCTCGTTACGAATTTTAATAGTACACACACGTTGGAATTACCGGATTGTGGAAGCGTTAGTTCGTGGCGCAGAAGAAACCATGATTTCGAAATATCATGTACAACCCGAAAATATTACTTTACATTCAGTTGCTGGCTCTTATGAGCTTCCTTTCACTGCTCAACGTCTAATTTCGGCTTCTACTAATACTCTAAAGTTTGACGCAGTCATTTGTATTGGGGTTCTAATCAAAGGTTCTACAATGCACTTTGAGTATATCGCAGAAGCGGTGTCTCATGGGATAATGAGAGTTGGTTTGGATAGTGGTGTTCCGGTAGTGTTTGGGGTTTTAACTTGCTTGGATGATGAACAGGCCTTAGAAAGAGCTGGATTAGGAGATAGACCGGGGAAACATAATCATGGGATTGATTGGGGTCACTGTGCAGTCGAATTGGCATGTAAGAATCGTAGGTGGAAGGACGGTATTATTTGATATTAAAGAATTCATCCGCGTGTTTGATTATTTCTTATCTGCTGTGATTTGTCGAATCTAGACATTTAAGAAAAATTTTTGTTATATAAAAATGTTCAAAAAAAGTCAATTTAAGCTAAAAATTCAGATTTAGATTTTTTTGGTAATTTATCTTTTCAGATTTATATAATGAGTGCAAATAAAATTAATAATGGCATAAATCTTGATAATCTTAGTCAACTGCCACTCGTTTACTTTGATAAAAAAAAAAAAAAATCTATCAAAAGAAAGCTATTATGGTTACAAGCGGATTACTAATCCTCTTTTAAACACATAATAATCAAATACCATTAATAGTAAGCCTTCCCAGGTCTTAGTAGGAAACTGCCATAAAAAGAAACAGCTAGAGATTTGATTTAGCCAATTATGTTACTTGTTCTATGGTGCAAGAAAATTTTTTTACCATGAAGTTGAAAATCGATTGTATGACTAAGAAAAAAATTTTTCTATATAGTTGATCAATCATGTCTTACTCGACCCAACAAATCATGTACAGTCTGAAGCGGTCTACGTCTTTTACACAGAACGTGAAAGCACTCAAACCGTTTGACTCTGGTGATATAAAAATATTATTACTGGAGAATGTGAACCAATCTGCCGTTGAAATTCTGACAAAGGCAGGATATCAGGTACGAATTCTATTGGTATTCTCGCGTCACCTGCCTTTCCGAATACTAATGGCTTTTTACGAAAGGTTGAAACTCACGATAAAGCTCTTCCGGAAGATGTCCTTATAGAGAAAATTCGCGAAGTGCATTGTATTGGAATTCGTTCTAAGACGAAACTCACCTCGAAAGTTCTTCGTGAAGCGAAAAAACTTTTGGTGATTGGTTGCTTCTGCATTGGCACGAATCAAGTCGATTTGGATTTTGCTGCTAAGAAAGGAGTTGCAGTGTTTAATTCCCCCTTTAGCAATAGTCGAAGTGTAGCAGAATTGGTGATTTCTGAGATCATCACATTATCAAGGCAATTGGGTGACCGTAACATTGAGATGCATCAAGGGATTTGGAATAAAGTATCCTCAAAATGTTATGAAATTCGTGGAAAGACCCTCGGTAAATGCATGAAATAATTTGTCTAAATTCTAACCATTCACTTAACACCTAACATCCATCCATACTTAAGGGATTGTTGGCTATGGTCACATTGGGTCTCAACTGTCGGTTCTTGCCGAATCCATGGGAATGTCAGTATATTTCCACGATATAGTTCAGATGATGCCCTTGGGGACCGCAAAACAAGTTGGTTCTCTTCAGGAACTTTTAGAACGATCTGATTTTCTCAGTATACATGTTCCTGAAACAGATGAAACTATAAATATGATTGGTCTCGAAGAAATTAATAAGATGAAAAAAGGAAGTTATCTGATAAATGCTTCACGTGGTACTGTCGTTCAAATCCCGGCTTTAGTAAAGGGCTTGCAAAGTAGCCAACTGGCAGGTTCGTGTTAACCGATATGCATGTATGCACATTATTTCCATATTAATTCATTAATATTTGATAAATATAATAAATATAGGTGCAGCAATTGACGTGTATCCACGTGAACCCTCTTCAAACGGTCCCAATTTTAATGACAAGTTAAATAGTTGGGCAACCGAACTTCTGAAATGTAAAAATTTAATAATGACTCCACATATTGGTAAGTGCATATATCTTTACATGAAATTTTGATTGATCAAATTTGTATGAGAAACGGATTTATAAGGATTTCGTTAAAACTGAACATCTTTATATTTACCCTCGATATATCTGTTTTTTCTTAGGTGGATCGACTGAAGAGGCGCAGAAAATGATCGGCGTCGAAGTCGCAACAGCGCTTTTCAAATACATAAATTACGGAACCTCAATCGGTGCTGTGAATTTCCCTGAGATTGATCTCCGAGCTATTCAAGAATTAGAAGAGAAGAAAATTCGAATCCTCTTTGTTCACCAGAACGTTCCTGGTGTATTGAAGGTAATACCTTTATCTTAATTTAACTATGAAATGATTGGCATCAAGCTAAAAAAATTTACCACTTTATAGGAAATCAATCAAATGCTTTCGGATCATAACGTTGAAAAACAATATTCCGACTCACATGGTGAAATAGCATATATGATGGCTGATGTTTCAGATGTAGGCGAGAACGATATCCGCGAGATCTATACTAATATCAGTTCTATAAAGGAAAATATACTAACCAGAATTGTGTATTAATTTAAGACTGCGAAATAATATGAGGGAATGCTAATAGTCTTTATTATGCCTTCGGATTTTATCTAAATAATGTAATTTAAATTTCAAGAGATCATCATCTTTTTATTCGTTTGTCAAATATGCAATTGGCAATTATGTTTAACAAGTATCAAGGCCATTTTATAAGTGACCTTGACTTTCGTTGTTGGTCACTAGCTAAGGTGACGGTTCGTATCGAGTTTCCTATTGAATTAGGCTTGATCTAACAATTTTTAAATAGTTACTCTATATTAAATTTGTATTCATTTGCTTTTTAATCGCATTATAATTAATTACATCCATATTCTTATAAATGTTAACTAATTAAAAGTTGTTTTTTACTTTTTTTATTATTTAATATAAAAGAATGAAATATACATATTAGATGGATTTTGTAATATCAATATTTTTAATAAAAATAAATTGGATTATATTAATTATCTCAATTTTTTTTCAAATTGTTTAAAGAAATAAAAACTGTATTGCATATAATAACAGTTTAACAAGCTACAAAAAAAATATTTATTATTAATTTTTTTTTTTAAATTAATAAAAATATAATAAATATAAAAAAAAACCCCTTTCCCACAACATCTCCATCTGTAGAAAATTGCCTTTTAGGAAACTTCTCTCTTCCAAGGAACTTTGTCTAGCAGAATATGTTCTTTTGGAAGGAGACATAAACCGGAAAACTGATTTAAATCATGGGGGTTTCAAAGATAAGATTGGCCCCTAGGGTTTCTAGCAATAGAACTTGTGCTAAAAGGTTTAGTAACTGGTAATGGTACTGGGCAATAACTTGGAACAGAAAAGACGAATAAAAAGAAAATTTTCTATGTAAAGGCCATCTCTATATATAATTGCTATAAAACAATCACATCTTTTATCTTTAACTCAAAAATAATCCTATTCTCAAGAGGCAATATTTTATTTTTTTAGAGTATTTTTGTTTTCTGCTGATAATAACTAGTGCTAGATTTCACATAATCTTCTGGCTAGTTATTAGTTCTCATTCACAAATTTCAATACAAAAATCGTAATCAACTTACTCCTACTAAACAATCTACAACATATAAACACCAATCACACTTTGTATTATCTTAATATATCAAAACAACACAACAACTTATCAGATTGGGAGAGTGTGTGATCAGTACCCTGCGCAGGTTCTGATAATAACAACACACAACATCTCATCAAAACAACATAATAGATATCTGAAATATACTTCAGTTATTCTATTATTTATATCACAACATGACCATATCACATGACAACAACATTACAAAACATCACATGATCAAACTCATCAAGTTACATATGGCTTGCGCAGTGTCGACACCTAACTGAAACACCTAATTGCATTCAAAAACCATATTTAACAAAAGCTTCAATTTTTTTTTTCTTTTTCTTCTCATCCAAATGTTTTACAATGCTGGTAATCTTACTTCAAATGTTTTTTTATTTTTTATTTTTCATAACAAATAGTTCCTCAAGTTTTCTCTACTCAAGGATTTTTCAAATAATATATTTGTTTAATGGGTGGTAGGTTAATATATATAGTGATATAATTCATATCTTAATATTAATTATGTAACAAGTTAAACTTTTACTTTATTAATAAAGATAATAAATAATACCTTATTCTAACATTAAAAAAATATATATATAATAAATATAATAAATATGATTTTTTAAAAAATTTTATTTATTTACTACTTTTTTTAAATAGATAAACATTGTTATTTTTATTAGTTATAAAAATATATAGAATTTTATTTTATATATTTATTTATTTTTAAAAGGCAAATTATACAATAATATATATTTTTTATTGAGAATTAATATTTAAGCTACAGTTCTGGCAAAAAAAAGTGGCACTCTTGATTTTTTTAAAAATTAAGTAATTAGATCGCAAATCCCATTATACTAATGACAAATTTAGTTAATAACCAATTATTTTAAAGTCAAAAAAAAAAAAAAATTTGTGCTACTTAATATGATGTATGGTTACTTTGGCGGAGAAACGTCTCATCGTTAAGTCTTTGTGGAAGCAAGAACATAAAAAAGTCAGCGAACTCCAAAAAATAATCCAATATCCAAGAAGAACACTATTCAGATGGGCTGCTCAACTTG